AAATTAAAAAAATGAATGAGTGAATATATAAACAAACAAAAATTAAAAACCATGGCCTGAGGCTTTTTCTAACATCCGTGTCCTGTTCAGGGCCTTCCTCACTAGTCCCAGGCCCTGGGTAGGAACCCCTGGCCCTGGTGTCCTCACCCTCCTCAGCGTCCCACAGCTGCCCACCTGCAATGTCACACATTTCAGCATCTGTGGCATTGGCCAGTGCCTCTTCCAGTTCAGGCTCCAGAGTGATCTGCTCCTGTACAGGAATTTCTTTCTTGGGCTGAATATAGGGTTTCCCTGATGGGGAGATGAAGGGTGGTTGAGGTAGAGGTCTTTCCTCCTAAGATCCTGGTCTCCAGCTTCCTTTCCTTCTCCAGCAGGTGGAGGTCTGGGTCATTAGGGGCCACTGTAAAGCCTGAGTCCTCTACCAGCTCAGGATTCCTGGGTCCCCTGATCTCTTCTAAAAGTTGAAGAGTGAAAGATGGCATGTAGGTTTCAGGGTGGCCGAGTCCCTGGGCAGCTAGGAGCTGGAAGGGGAGAGGGAAGCTGGAGGGGGTACACTTGAGAGACAACCATTTGGGTTTTGGTAGGCATGGTTGTTAGGGTCTCCATACCTTTCTTCTCGCCTGTGAAGGGCACCAGGTCATCACGCTCTTTGACCTCTAGTGCCTGCTGCTCTAGGTACTGCAAAAGGGCATCCCGGTCCAGCGGCCCCGTTGGACTCTTCTTTGTCTGGTCACGTTGTCTTAGTCCAGCTGGCAGGAGCATGTTCTGAGGGATGAATTTTGGGGAGCAAGTCGGACCTCTTCTCCGATCTGGGGCACCCCCAGGGCTCCCTAAAACATCTACAGACACCCTTTCCCTGGCCCCCTTGGGACTCCAAGCCCTGTAGGCCGCCCCAATCTTAGCCACCCAGGGCCCCTCACCCTTCCCAAATGCCTGGGAACTGCCCCTGGTTCCCTGTGCTAGGGCCCCTACCTCGGGGTCCATCTCCTGTAGCTCGCAGTCCAGCTGCTCTAGCTCCTCGGGGCTCAGGGTCCTTAGGATCTCATCTTCATCTATGTCTCTGTATTTCTCCAGTTCCTTCTGATACGACGACATGATGGCCCCCACCCCCTCCCCACTGTGTGGCACTCACGGAGCCTGGGGGACATGGGGAAAGTGATTGGATAATGGAAAGATGTACACAGATGCAGCAGGACATAGACCAGCCAGGAGGTAGAACAATGAACTAGACGCCTTGGAGGTTAGAAATCTAGTTGGGCATGGGAAGATGGGGGAAGGTTAGGTT